CTCAGACTGCATGGCTCCGCCGGGCTTCCTACAAGTTGTTTGGACAAAAAATGGCAACGACAGACATGTACTGAGTCAAGCAAAAAAACACTCACTCATGTCAAGCATGCCGGACATGTCCTAAGCCTCCTGCCAAAAAAGCGCAAAAAGCCTCCTGCCAAAATAACGCAACAAGCTTGGCTTGGACAGAGGCTCCCGTGTCTCTCGAATCAACTGACTCCAATTTACTTAAACTTGAACAAAAAAATTCTTCAGCTGTGCATCAGACTCCATCCGAACCCGCAGAGCATCCACGGGCCAACCTTGATGACGTCCAGATCAGACTGATCAAACTCCATCCGAACCCACAGAGCATCCGTGGGCCAACCATGATCACGTCCAGATCAGACTGATCAGACTCCATCCGAACCCACAGAACATCCGTGGGCCAACCATGATCACGTCCAGATCAGACTGATCAGACTCCGTCCGAACCCACAGAGCATCCGTGGGCCAACCATGATCACGTCCAAATCAAAGAGATCAGACTCCATCCGAACCCACAAAAATCCCGAAAGCATCCGTGGGCCAACCGTGATCAAGTCCAGATCAGTCTGATCAGACTCCATCCGAACCCAGAGATCATCCATGGGCCAACCATGATCACGTCCAGATCAGGCTGATCAGACTCCATCATCCGTGGGCCAACCATGATCAAGTCCAGATCAGACTGATCAGACTCCATCCGAACCCACAGAGCATCCGTGGGCCAACCATGATCACGTCCAGATCAGACTGATCCGACTCCATCCGAACCCACAAAAATCCAGAAAGCATCCGTGGGCCAACCATGATCAGGGACCCCATTTGCAACATTCCTTGTCTCTGCCTTGCTTCTGGTTGCATTTGCTGTTGCTAGACCGGTTGTTGCTGTTCCTGCAAAAAAACAGTCCGAACACCACTTTTTGCTGTTACACCGGTTTGCTCTCGGTTGCTCTCTTGTTGCTCTCCTCGTGCTCTCCTGTTGCTCTCCTCGTGCTCTCCTCTTGCTCTCCTCGGGCTCTCCTCTTGCTCTCCTCTTGCTCTCCTCGGGCTCTCCTCTTGCTCTTCTGGTGCTCTCCTCTTGCTCTCGGTTGCTCTCCTCTTGTTCTCCTCGTGCTCTCTTGTTGCTCTCCTCTTGCTCTCCTCGTGCTCTCTTGTTGCTCTTCTGGTGCTCTCCTCTTGCTCTCCTCGTGCTCTCTTGTTGCTCTTCTGGTGCTCTCCTCTTGCTCTTTGTTGCTCCCCTCTTGCTCTCCTCTGTTGCTCTCCTCTTGCTCTCTGTTGCTCTCCAGTGCTCTCCTCTTGCTCTCCTCGTGCTCTCCTCGTGCTCTCCTCCTGATGTCCTCCAAAGAGACGAGGCGCGAGGCGGGGGTTTAAGTAGTGTTCTCTCTCTCTCTCTGCCTCTCTCTCTCTCTCTCCCTCTCGTCCTCTCTTCCTCTGTTCATGTCTTCCTCTCTTCCTCGCTTCCTCACTTCCTCGCTTCCTTGCTTCCTCACTTCCTCGCTGCCTCTCTTCCTCTCTATCTCTCTCTCTCTCTCTCTCTCTCTCTCCCTCTCCCTCTCTCTCTCTCTCTCTTTCTCTCTCTCTCTCTCTCTCTCTCTCTCCCTCTCTCTCTGTCTCTCTCTCTCTCTCTCTGTGTCTCTCTCTCTCTCTCTCTCTCTCTCTCTCTCTGTATGCATGTGTGTAATTCAATATGTACTTGTTGCCGTATCCACTTATCAAGTATATCTCCTTCTCTCTCTCTCTATATATAGCTCTCTCTCTCTCTCTCTCTCTCTCTCTCTATATATATGTATATCCAAAGCACGAACAAACCTCACAGTCACAGCAAAGAAAACCTCCAAAGCACAACTTGCAGCAGTAACCTCAAGGCCAAAAGCCCCCATGTACTCAACGCCCTCGCCCCTAAACCCCAAAACCCTTAGCCCCAAGCCCGACACCCTCAAACTTTTCAAACCTAAACCCTTAAAACCCTAAAGCTTCAAAGACAGCAGCCTGCCCACCTCCTGTGTGTTCCAGTCTTCGGCGCCCATGTCCGCACACAGAGCCAGGATGGCCTCTCGAGTCTCAAGCCCTGCAAGGCCCCGACGCATCCTTTAAAGTATAACGTAACTATGATACATAAATGTAGTAAATAATTAAGGTAATCATATTACTATACGATACTTTGGTATAGTACTAATCATAATGTCCCTTTTGTGTGCCTTGAAGGGTCCTCAGTCCTCAGCGGGTTTAGTTTGGGCTTCTTTGCTGAGGGCGGCTTCGGCGAGTGTGGGGGTCTGAGGGCGCGGGTTTAAGGAGTTGGGCTTGAAGGTGTAGTAGGGCTCACCACTCTGGGAGTTTTGGGGAAAAGAAGTTAAGAACACCAACAGCTTGTGTTGTGCAGATGGCTTTGGGCGGAATGCGGCTTGAGCTTACGAGTGAGGTTCGAGCGCCCCGGTGACTTGAACATAATGTATCGAAACAAAACTGCGGACATATCTTGTTCTCCCTACCACAGCTACGCGAATTGCTAGTAGCTGCCAGCAGAAGTCCTAGGGTGTTCAGAAGATGATGTGAGTACCAACCCTTACAGCCCTAGTAGAATCATTGATGCAGCTAGGAGCAAGAACAACTAAAATTAACAAGAAAACCTGAAGCTTAAAAGTCAACCCAAAGGCTGGTGGCCCAAACCCTGGCACCTTACTACTTCGACTTGAAACCCTAAACCCTAAACCTCTAGATCCTCAGAGCCGAAACCCACTAAAGAAGCCATTGAACCACAGAAACCTACTCAAGAAACCCACAAGTAAAAAGAAACCTACTAAAGACATCCTTATGTATATACTTTAGCATACCATAATCTAGTATAATGGATCATAATATACCATAAGATACGAAAAACAAGGGACTAGTTTAGGTTGACATGCAAAAGACAGGCTGTCGCCTGTTTCGGGGGCAGCTTCTCGAAACTCTTGAAGCGGTCCAGGTGGCTCTTCCTTGCATGGGGTGTTTGAGCGCTTAGGGGTTCAGGGTTTTTAAGGGGTTTTGGTGTAGGGATTACGGGTTTCGAAGTGTAGGGACTTTTTTTAGAGTTTAGGGGTTCAGGGGCTTACGGGTTCGAGGTTTTGGGTTTGCGGGCCAACCTCGAACCCTGAACCCTAAACCTAACCCAAACAATCCGAAGCACTCAATCTCTGGGCCCAACCCTCTATAGCCTCCACTCCTAGTTGCTGCTCTCATCGCCCGAAAACTGATTTGAAGGGTTTAGGGACCGTTTCGTGGTAGGAGTAGATGTAGGAATGTCTACGTATGCCCGAACGCAGACTGAGCAGGTCAACATGCCCTAGCCCCGAACCCCAGACCCTGACTCAACGCCAAAACCCGAAACCCGAACTGGAGAAAAGAACGCCAAGCCAATGAAAGAACTAGAGTTGGGGCTTTATGGGGCTGTACCTGAACCCTCGCAAGAAACCTACCTTTTCGAGGATATGTGCGAAATCAAAACAAAAACAAGAACGCCTGAAGTTGTTGGTTTTCTAGTGTCCAGGCAGGATCCAAGGCAGGAATGCTTTAGGGCCTCGGCTACACATCTTGAAGAGTCTCATGTTGACTCGCCACCTGGAGACCCCGCAAGCTCGAATCCAACTTGAAGGGTCAGGGTGACTTAAGAAGTATAGGTTATAAGTACCTTAATCGGGGTTATGAATAATTGTAAGTATAATTACCTTAATTATAACCCTGACCCCCCTTCGGCGGAAGCTGACGCTTCGCCAGAGCAGGGAGCTTATCCCGCTCGGCTGTTCTCAGTAGCTCAGCAAGGCTGTGGAGAGTAGTCTCTCACTGAAAGGCTGGAGGGCGAAGAACTCTGGCCCGTTGTTGCTGGAAAGACGCCCGCCCGTCTGTGCCCGCTACTGTCGCCACTGCAAGCGATATCAGATCCTGGACTCCGGATGGAGACTTGCGCACCACAGCGTCCATCTTCTTGCACATGGAGCTCGCGTAGGTTCGAATCCTCATCGGACATCATCTCCCAAGCGAATAGCGGAGCGGCACATGAACCGACGGCTCGTGAAGGACAGTTATCATCTGCGCGTATACCCCTGCCGCCACAATCACCGCTGTGAGCGCTGGACGCTGCACGGTCTCGGGCTCGACCATGTGTCTCAGCAAAGAAGCGACTTTATCCTTAGGCTCGGCGATTGCAGTAATGAGCTTCCAGAACTCAGCCCGGGCGTCCGCTGGGTAAGCCTTTTCAAGAGCCCTCGTCTTGCCAAACGCCATCGAGTCATGATATGTGGCGATGGTGACAGTAGTGATGTAGTCGCAGAAGCTCCCGGCTTCGAGATCAGCTCTTTGACGTACCGCCCTGAGACGTATCGCCTCTAATAGACTCCCATTTCCACAACTCCCAATTTTCAAGCCAAACCGAAATCCTGCATTTCTGTTGTTCCTGATTCTGTTCTACTGATACTCCCTGCAAAAGAGTTGGTCTTATCGGCTCAAGGTACCTCGTGCATCCTACACCTTTATCGAGCCATCCTCCCAAAAACCATGTCCTACTTCGGGGCAAAGGCACGACATCTTGTCGCCGAGGCCCATGATTCCCTTGATGCCTCAGCAGATCTGCTCGTGGCTTGAAGTTCAGGGTTCAGCGTAGCCTACTTGGAGGATCAGGGGACTTAGCAAGTAGGGTTATAAGTACCTTTAACCCCAATAAGTACTTATATGTACAGTTACCTTAATTATAACCCAAGTTACTAAGTCCCATGATCCTTTAAGTAGGATGCCTCAGCAAATACTTGAGGTTTAGGGCCTTGAACGGTTTGGAGTTGTGGGATTGGGACGTTAGTCATGGTCTCGGGTTTAAATCTTTGCGTTTAGGGGCTTCAGGTTTGTAGGGGTCGCAAGTCCGCTGCTGGGCGCATTTAGGGCGCAGGGTCTAGGGTAAGCCCAAAAGCCTAAAGGATCATGATCTCCGGGCTGAAGGCATTTCAACGCCAGGAGTTGAAATCAACCTAAACCCTGCAACTCAGACATTAAGACTTGAATCTCCGGTCGTCGATCTCCTAGCTCTTCCACTTTGTCCTTGGGTACCATGTACCCCTGACCCCTAAACGGTACCGAACACAAGTTTAGGAGTTAAGGTGCAGGCACGGACACGGGAAAATGCTAAACATGTGTTTTACGAGCGAAGGAAAGCACGCAGGGCCTAAGGCCTGGGGACCACGACACTATAAGCCAAGAGCCCGGCCCTGCATCTCTTTTGCATCGAAAATTGCGCAGGCACCGATGGGTGCGAAAAGAACACGAAACCTCTTGTAGTGATGCACGGGAGGCGTCCGGCGTTCCCCGAACTTCCTTTATTCGAGTGCTACAAATGTTGCTGCAGCTGCTGCTGAACTTGATATGTGGACGTAACGACCACAAACCAGAAAACCCCTAAACCTTAAACCCCTAAACTCTAAACCCCTGAAGTTTAGGCTTGACCAGATCTCAGGTTTGCATTTTAGGGACACAACTTTGGGCAAGAGAGCGATATGTTCACGGCGCCGCTCACAGCCGAGGGCGGAGTTTGGCGACTGCTAAGCCGACCAACAATCCTCGGACAGGGGTCCCTAATCTATACTGTAAACTAGTAGGGTTCATTAACATCTAAGCCCCTAAACTCTAAACCACAAATCCCTAAAGAGGTACTCCTAAACATCTTAAGGTTTGGGCTTGTTGGTTCAGGATTCAATCCCTAGACCCAGGCCTCTGGAGATTTCGGACGCATGTTCGTCTTAACTTGCAGGGGATTCCAGGATTTTCTTCGGGCCTTACGTGCCGGGTGCCAGGTTTGGGACAGGGATTGGGAACTACGGTTTCGGAGCCCGGAGCATCATGCTTTGGAACATCTGTTTAAAGTCTGAACTGCTATGTCTCTCCATCTTCAGCCCTCGACCCATGGAACCTCAGCCCCAAAGACTTGAACCCTTTAACCCCCAACACGGAATCCCAACCCAAACGTGCGACTACAAACGAACTCCCTAGATGGGAGGTTGCAAAGAATAGCAGACTCTTCCAAAGGCCCTAAACAGCCAGATCCTCACTGTTAGGATCCTTAAAAGATCACCAACAATAAAGGAAGCCTGTTGAATCATTACTAAACCACACAATCCTACTAAACCCCTTCTCAGGCCCCTAGTATTGATTAAGGCAACATAGAACCTTCATGGACCTTTCATAGTAGCACTTTAAAGGAAACATCAAAATACAGCCCTGAATACTTTGAGCTCGTGACCAAGGGCGGCCGCACCCGCCAATGCAGGAAAAGCTGCACCTAGTCGGGCAGTTTTCACTACACTTACCTCGTCTATAGCCCTATGTATCAAGTCGCTTTAAGCAGTGATAGGATGTCTAGGCCTACTAGCAGTTTTGTTATTCGGGCCGGCTAGGGCCCAGGGTATTTATACAGCAGAAGGAGCTTAGGGCGTTTGGGGCTGGAGGGCTGAGATGCGGGCTATCAATTCTAAGGCCTTGCTGGTTGGCTTGAAGTATCGCGTATACAAAGATAAGCACTAACGACAGCAGTCCGGAGCTTACCAGGAGTAGCCCCCCAATGTATGGATGCAGGGCTATGGGGGGGCGGGGGGCTCGCGTGGAGGGTTTTCGGGTTAGGCATAGGCTTAGGGCTTAAAACTTCTAGACTCCTTAAACCCCAAATATCCCTTCTCTCTAGGCACCAACAATGCCGACAAAAAAAGGCGGAGCGCACCTCCCACAGGAGGCAAGCTGCGCGACGCCGTGGCAAATTCGGTGATCAGCGAGTTGGCCTCGAAAAACGTCTCAGCAACAAGAACCGCAGCTTGACTTGAACACAGCCCCGACCTGGTGCCCGCACATGTTTCAAACACAGGCCCCTCAAAGCAAAATCCCACAACAATAGAACCCGCAACCCCGAAACCACCCAACCCCCGACACTCCTAAGCCCAAAGTTCTAAACCACAAAAACTCCCGAACCTCTAAACCCCTAAATTCTAAGCGTTCCTGCTCTAAACCCCAGAAAATCATCATTCCTCATGCCGCCGAGGCGACGATGGCGAAGCGAGGTGGAACCCAGAGGCCGTTGGGATGCTTCTGCCTCGGTTAAGGGTTTGGGTTCAAGTTTTTTGGGTTTTGGGATATAGGTTCAGGGTTTAGGCTTCGGGCCGACACCAACCCAATGAATGAGTAACACTGTCAGTGACGACCCATACACAAGAACATCCGTCCACCCGTCAACCCAGCACTGCCTGTTGCTGGAGGTTGTGGACGTATTTTGCACGGCGTCGTGTCACGAAAAAGTTGCCATGTCGGATCATCGCCCTCGTGCTGTTTGCATCCCTCTGCTGACATGCAGCACTTACGGTTCTGTCCCGACGGATCTGCACTATAAAATCACTATTGTCTTGGGCTTATGTTAAGGGCATGTACTATCCAAATTACAACTGTTCAAAGCCCAAAACCCGAAAGCCAGCAGCCAAGGCAACTCAGCTACTGCAGCATCTGCTGAACCTCTTTTCGCGTGAACCACCTCCGGACAGCGACAAGCTTTCAGAGAAGGGTGAGTAACTACGCAATTGGGGCAGTTCATGTCGAATTAAATAATTTACAACTGTACCCTCAACCCTAGACAAACTCCTGCAACATGCATGGTGAGGAGCAAGCGATGACTCCCTGTTGATAGCACGTGGTGTTGCAAGAATGATTTTGCCCATCAGCCATGTTGGCTTTCCTTCGCCACCACTATGATCGCCTCAGTCTACCCTATCTCCCAAGCCCTGAACCCTTAGCCCGGTACTTGTCGGCACGTCGTGAGGCCCTCAGTCCAAAGCATATAGACCCTTAAGCCCCAAAACTCTTGAACCCAACGACAACTTCAACAGCATTCCTAGCCCCATCTCAGCCACGCAGCGGCTGCAGCAACCGGCCGTGAAGTGAATGGCTGCTAAATTTAAAGGCGACGCCACAACTTCAACTGCGCAGCAGCCGGCAGTCAAGTGAGCGGCTACTCAATTGAAAGCCATCCACAGGGGCTGCCCTCTCAGGTCACAATTTCACTCAAGTTCACCTGGAAAATGAACCTCAGTGCCGGGAGGCGTCTTTTGTGCTTTTGGACCGATGACCGATCAGTTCACAAAATGTTTCACTCAATCACCTGGAGGTAGCCGCGCCGGACCGGCGGCGGAGCCCACGCAAGCTCAAAACAATAGCAGGTTGTGTGCAAAAATCGGGGGTTGTTGACAATCCAGCTGCCGACAGATCCCGCCGGAAGAAACTCTCGCAACTTAAATTTGTCCAGCTGCCAGCAGTTCTGCGTAGCCACGATCATTCGAGCGGCGGCCAGGAGCTGTTGATGACCTCCCCAGGTATCCTGGACCGCACACTCAAGCGATGCCGTGAAAGGATGTGCATCCCGTGCCCGCCGGCTGCAGCACCCCGTATTACTCTCCGCCGTCGTCGTGGTGCAGGTAGGGGTCCATGCACCCCTCGTACAGCTGCGAAGCTTTGGGCAGCAGTCTCAACGCTGCAGGGCGGTCGCTCCGCCAAACTTTGAAGTGCACTTCCATACAGCCGCCTGTCAGCAAGGGCTCTCGCGCGTCCAGGAGGGCGCGTCGCAGCAGATTCACCTCGTCCCCGAAGCTTACAGCTGACACCACCTCCACGTCGCTGTCTGAGGAGCCAAAGCTGCAGAAAAATCATGGCCACACGTGCTCCATCTCTTTGGCTTCTCCACTTCAAGGTTTGCCGACCCTGTTTGCCTACGCTCACCCTCTCTTAGTGCAGAAGCTGCTGGACGCGGCTGCTTCTGGGTGACACGCCGCCACGCACGCTTCTGCGCTTGGCGGAAAACATGCAAGCGACGGAAGTACCGTCGCAGCTTTCGCATGCACTGCTGGGAGTATGTGCCATCTTCCCTGTGGACGGCCTCGACTAAAAACGCAGTCCCCAAGCCTTGCCCCCCAATTCTTGAGTGCGCGGTGCGACAGTAGCTGGGGCAGTCCACGATGCCCGTCTGTGCGCACGCACGAAGGCGTGCGCCTTTGCTGGAGTGGTGCTTGCAACATCTATGTGGAAAGCGGCTTTAGGCTGGCCGTGCATAGAACCTGCAGGATGTCGCACGATGCATGGCCGCCATCGTGGCCATCCAGCCCGTCGCCAAAAATTAGTTGAAAGGCCGCCCAAGCCACAGACATTGGGATCTTCTGAGAGGTCAAGCGCTGGAGAGGCAGCCAATCTTCTGGAGCACGGCCTGATGCGATTTTGGAGTCGGGGAAAACGGTACATTGCTACTGGCTGCTTGCTTCCGTCCTCTGATGCGCTCAAACCCACTGCATGGGACCAGTTTAATTGACAGAACGATTTTTCAGGTCTTCACCACCGACGAACCTGACGGTGCAAGCTATGCCCTCCGATCATTCAGCCATGTTGCCCGGCTGCATGCGACGAGTCTGATAGTTAACTGTTTCAGTCTTCAGGTTGATTCTGATGAAGCCAGCCGTCTCCTCAAGTCGCCCTCACGATCTCGGATCCTTCCCGTGATTGCCACGCGGCATGGGACGAGCGACTGTAAATCGCAGTGTAGCTGTGAGTTTTGTTGACTCGCGAGCGTGCTGAGACAAGTTGCATCGTCAAGCCACTCAAGTCTCTCCATAGGCTGTGCTGCACGGGACGAGCTCTCAAAGCCAAACCGCATTAGGGCCTCCACCCACAACGACACCCCCACCCCGAACACATGAAACTCTCAGCCTGCAACCACCACTGCAGCAACCCCTAAACTTCCCCTAAACTCCAAACCCACTGCATTATGACACCCTAAGCCCTAAACCCTGAATCCTAAGCCCTAAACATCCCTAAACCCTTGTCCCCAAAGGCTAAACTCTAATCCCAGGACGAACCTAGCATCGTCGATCTCCTCCTTGTTCACGGACACCTCCTGTGAGCTTCTCGGTACATGCGGATTTCTTAGGGGCTTTATAGGGTTTGTTCGACTTCTTTGAAGCTCGCTTGACTGGGGATGCAGCGGTTTCTCAAGGCTTTGTCGGGTGTTAGAGAGTCTTGGTTTAGGGCTTGGGGTAAGGGTTTAGGGTTTAGGATTTAAGGCTCAGGGTTTAGGGAAGTTGGAACTAGAGGTTCAACCAGCCTTAGAGTCAGGAGGAAGCCTTTCTCAGAAAGGCATAGGAGCAGTTTCTGAGAGAGCACCTCAAACCCAAATCAACTCAAATACAAAAGCCCTATGCCCCAAAACCCCAAGAAGCTTGGCATCCCCAAACTTCCAAACAACCCGAAAGCCCTTAAGGCCCTAAACCCACAACCATACTCTAATCCTCAAACTCCCCCCCACCCCCCCAAACCCTCCCCAACCCTAAACCCTTTACTAAACCCTAAACCCTGTAAGCCCTATAAACCCTAAACCCTGCTGTAAGCCCTTCTACACCCTAAACCCTGAACCCTACAAACCCTGTAAGCCCTTCTAAACCCTAAACCCTGAACCCTAGAAACCCTAACTCCAAGCCTCGCTGGCTGCCACCGCACGGCAGCCGAGCATCAACTCGCAGGAGCCTCCGCGGCCTGAAGTTTTTGCTTTTTGGGGTCTATAGGATTATAAAAAAAGGCTTAAGGGGCTTAGGTCTATAGGCTGTAAGGTTATAACAAGGCTCAAGGGGTTTAGGGCTTAGGGTTTAGGTGGGGTCTATAGGATTATGAAAAGGCTTACGGGGTTCAGATCTGTATAGGGTCATAAAAAGGCTTAAGGGGTTTAGGGTTGAAGGGTTGCAGGGTTTAAGGGTTTGAAGGTTTAGAGTTTTAGGGTTTAAGGTTTAGGGCCTGGGTCCAGGGCTCACGTGTTTTAAGGCTTTTGGGTCCAAAGACCGTACCACGTAAAGTCTTGGGGCTATTATATGTTGAGTCCGGGCTAATGCTGTTGTTGCAAAAATCGACGGCTAGACCTACATTACTGGAAATAGCCCTGTTTCTCAGTCCCACTAACAAAGACTATCATGATGACGATTATGCTACTGCAATTCCCGAGGTTATAAAGCCTGGAGCCTCTTCCCTATAAGGCATTCAGGGCAAGTCGCCGATAGGCCACGGCTGTGAGGCAACCAAGGAAATGGAGTCCAGTACGACTCCTGCCTCCTTGTTTGTGTCCAAAGTCTGGAGCTTTTGAGCTTTAGGGCTTTAGGGCGTCAGGGTTCGGAAGCGGTTTGCAAGATATCGTCCCATACATACATTAATTAAAAATACTTGACATACATGCATAATTACATGCATGCATACATACATACATACACAAATATGTACGTATGCACATACATACATCCATGTATGCATTCATGCACCCTACATACCTACCCACATACATACATGCATACATACGTACATACTTGAATACACCATACACACGCATATCTACACACCTGACTACCTATACCTACCTGCCTGCATAGAAACATAGATACGTACATGCATACATGCATGCATACATACATATAAATATGCCAGTATATGTTTATATGCATAAATACGCATGTATATATATATATACACACACATATACATATACATACACACAGATACACATATACATACACACAGATACACGCACACACACACACACACATATATATATATACACACACACATATACATCTACATATATATGTATGCATATATATAGGTACACACATCTACACACCTACATATTGGTTGGGCTGTTCTCGAACGGACTTCCAGAACAGGACCGGCGAGGGTTCAGGATAGCCCTTTCGGAACCCTGTGAAAGTTTACAACTACGCCCGGCATCTAGACGGCTGCTGAGCTTGAAAGCAGGCCTCTTTCTTGCACTCAGAAACAATTCTGACCCAAATGCATACCGAGGAGATCCGAGGAGATAAAGTACGAAGGGTTTTTGTCCAGGCTGATGTGGGTTTCGGAAGACACTGTCACCGGCAGTCCTCGAAAGCTTCACGGCGGAAAGCCTTGCGGCTGGAGGTGATGGCTGGCAAGTGGTGAACTGTGTCTTGGTGTTTGAGGTTTTGGGGCCTGAAGTCGCGGGGCGAGCGCTCGGGAGTTGGCAAATGCGGATGTTGAGTTCAAAGCGTTGGCTTCGATATTGGGGTGCTGGGAAACCAGTGGTCTGGACTTGCGGATTGGATGTGCGGCAGGGCATGCGATCTGAGTTTCTGCAGACTGCACGAGGAAAGCTCGTGTTGCAGATGCCTGTAGTCTCCCGAAACAGACTGTATAAGCATTTGGTCATAATCCTGAACCCCTAAACCCTAAACCCCTAAACCCTATCTCTGGCAAGCGTTTGGAGCCTCAGTTCTTCTGGACTCAGGATCCATACACGCTGCCTCCTCGACGCTTTCGCAGGAGTCGATGAAGCCGGAGAGGCAAGTATACATGCCGGCAGGATACCTGGCCACATAACGTGAGGCAATAGAAGGTGGTTAAGAGCTGGGAACTGGGCGGGCTTGGCTGGGCTGCGAGGGGAAATTGAGAGATGGAAGGGGAGCTAGGCTGGACTGGGCTGCTCCAGTGGAGCTGGAGGGAGGAGCTGGGGATTTGAGCTGGGGCTGGGTTTTAAGCAGGCGCTCCGGCGAGCCCAAAGGGTCAGGAGATGTTGTAGGGATACCTGGAATCCGAAACCTACATCCCGGAATGCGGGTTTTGATACATGGCGGTGTTCGTGGGGTCCACCAAGCGTACGTCCCATCAGCTCCCTGCCATGATGCATTCCGCAACGGGTTGGCGCAGATGGTTGCAAAGAATGATCCGGCATGGAGCTGAGAATACACGCTAGTTCTTTCCGGCACTGGGTCTATGCATCCTTAGGGGTCGGGCTTTAGTCTTCTCAAAACTCAAACCATTTCGGAGCTCTGCAGGACAATGCGGTCGAACAAAGATGCTTCGAAGAAGTCCTCTTAAACGAACCGATACAATGCCCCCAACATACGTTCTACTCAGGTACATGAATCAGCAACACAAGCCACATAGAAACATGCACAGGCAATAGGAGTTTATCAAACACGTAACAGCCGGCCGACCATGACAAAGGCGTTGAAGGGAATTGCAGGGATGCTACCCTATATAAAAAAAGAATCCCTACACCCTACCTCTTCTCACGGGAACCGCCGGGATGCTTGTGGCTTCGACCAAGGAGAATGCGGCGGCCATCCGGGGAAAGGATCCTAAGCAATAAGGGTGCCTCAACAATTGGAATTGGGTTCCTTTCAATGTTCTGCAAGGGTTACTATCATAAGGGTTGAGTATAGGGGCCTCGGTAACTAGCATAGGCTTGTGGGCTTTAAATATGACAAGGTAACAGCTGTTGGACAAAACTGTGCGTTCTCTAGAAGAGGAAGAAACCAAGAGTTTACAGTAACTACTCAAGCACACTAAACTGCGTCCTTCTGGCTAAACATGAGGTCTCCTGTGTTTGGCACTAGCCTTAAGGATAAAGTCGTGGCTCAGTCCAAACTCGGACTCATAGCCGTAGCCCCTTCACCAAACACAAAGACCTCAACCTCGCAGTCTAAGAAGCTTATTGTCGGGCTTACAACGCCCAGTTTACGTAAGAGTTTCAGGGCTTACAGGGGCTTATCACCGGGCATAATTACAGGGTAGGACGGGTAGGATCTGTCAAACCCAAACTCTTTGGACGTTTGAACCCCGAGACAACCCACGGGTTTGGATTCAAGGTTCAATCAAGGCGTCGACTCTTATTCCTAGAAACTTGCAGTTTTATGCAAAGGTGAAACCTTAATTACGATGGTCCACAGTGGCTCCATTGCAGGGTACTCGGGAGCCACATGTACATCCTTCCAGGAACGCCATCCGACAGAAGGGAAGCTTGGCTGTCAAGGTGCAGGCCAATGGCAACCGGATCCGTCCGTGGGTACACTTTTGCAGTGCCTCCTGGTGCGACTTCCGGGTCGTTTTAGCCTACAACTACAACAACCATAGTTTTTGTAGCGTAAAACCGATGTTCGGGTTCAGGAAAAGGACCCTAATCCTGGTGCGCTTCAAGATAAAACCGACTTCGACTACGCTCGGCTGACAAGCCCCAAGCGCACCTGGATTTAGAATCTTAGGGCTTTACGGCTTTCGGGTTGAATTCTAGGGGCTAAATGAGCATTGATAAGGTGAAGGGTTTGCATGCGAAGCCGGGCATGGTAACTCTCGGACTTCTACGCCACGGCAGGCGACTCTCGTTTATGAGCCCCAAAATCGAAACCATGTGATCCCAACCCTAATCCTTCCAAACATATCATCGTAAATCTCACACGACAGGGAAGAGACCCCGAGCAGACCCAACATGGGGGTTGCAGAAAATCCGCGTTTAGGCCCTGATTTTCCGAATGTAACGAACTTCTTCAAAGAATTGCAGGGTCTTTTTGCCCGACTACTCAAAGCCCGGGGAGCCCTGACACTGGAACAAGACCCTTAGGGTCTAATAGGGTTCGAGTCGTCTACTGATTATGGTACCCCCCCCCCAAAAAAAATGGCCGATCTTGGAACAACCTCCACAGGCTCGAGAATGATCAATACCCCCCTCGCACAGCGCGCAAGTTCTAAACCCTAAACCCCGCTCCCTAAGCCCCAAAGCCTAAACCCTAAACCCTGAGCCCTACTCCCCCGAGTGCCTTCAACCTGGCGCTTGGCGCCTCCCTCGACGGGAATTGTGGCTTTCCCTGAAGACTTAGGGCTGTGGCTTGTCGGAATCAGGGGTATCGGTTAGAAGCTGCCCCTACCCTGTAATAGTGATTATAAGCATTATATTAGGGCCCTAGTATATTCCTATTATGCCACTATTACAGGGTGGGGGCCCCTTCTAAGGTATCGTGGCGTTAGGGCTGTGGGTTCGGGTTTACAGTGCTCAAGGCTTCGGGTTGAGGCCAGGATCCAGAAGCAACAGCAGGCTACATCACGCGGGTGGCAAAACTGCACGTTATCCACCTTCGAGGCTTACTGCTACACCTGAACACATCTCAGGATGATAAAATTTAGAAGCAGTAGATATTCTAGACAGTGCGGACAAAACAATGACTTCTGCACCCTGCGCCAAGCATGGCAGCAAGATCCGAGACGACCATGAGCCTAAGTGCCCCTGGCTAGACGAGTGGAAAGCTCATAAAAAAAAAAACCTGCGAGTTACATCTAAACCGATGAGAAGTCATCCCAAAACCCCCCAAACCAAAGATGCCCGAAGAATCCTGAGGCCCCAAACCCAACCCATGGGGTGTAGCCAGCTATTTCGCTGCTATCAGCAGCATATCATTCAAAAAAATTCTGACCCTATGTGAAGTTAGGTATACCGCATACTACAGTCTTTTTTCCGCTACTCCGGGGGGACATCAGTACGAATTCTTATGATTGTCCGAATTCCTCCGATGCTGCCAAAGCTCCGCTTCGGCCCTCGAACCTGTCTTCAGGAACAAGACTCCTAGGGTTTATGATAAATATCCTGCATTACCTTCAGGACCCTAAACTATGGGATTTATATCATCAGCCGTAGGGTTTAGGATTCCTCCTTTAAGGCTTCCGCTACGGGTCCAAGGGTGCAGGGCTCCTTCTTTAACAGTTGGGTCAGGCTGTTCATGTTATATAGGGGGGTTAGGGTTTAGGCCCTCTGGTTCGTTGAAGGGCTCCTTTGAGGCTCCTGTTGAAGGCAAGAGGCCTGGACAGGTTCTGCAGGGTATCTTGGATGCGAAGCTAACTACCGTACAATGATGTAGAAGGAAAAGAGGCAAACAAGAAATCTGAATGACGAACCCCTCAAAACAGTCAAGTTTAGGCGGATTCAAATGGGGTGTGGGTCTGGGTCTTGAGGTTGGCTTTTGTGGACATTCGAACCATGTACCCTGTAAGCCTTAAATTGTGAATGAACCCTAGCCTAAACCCTTCATAGACCCTCACCTCGAAGATTCACGGAACCAGTAATGGGTCCTTAACCCCAAACAGCAAACCCGGAACAGCGAATAGACCCGACACACTGAACACCAAATCACTCCGCTCGATACCAACCCTATAACCCCGCAGACTCAAAGGACCCTGAACCCTAAACACTCTTAACCCTAAGCCCTTTCACTACATCTCCAAAAAACCTACACCCTTAACCATTTAACCCCACAAGCCTAAAGCCCTGTAACCTCTAAGACTCTAAGCCCTATAACCTGCGCGATCTGAGCCCTTCCTGGACCCTACAGAACCCACCAAGGGCTTCCGTATTGTGCTTCCGTTATATAAGTCCTTGAAAGCTTAGGGTGTTCACCCATAGGCCCCAAAGTAGTTCCTGTTTGGGACTACCCTTATAAAATCCTATAAGGTAGTCCCAAAAAGGAACAACTTTGGGGCCTATGGGCAGGGTGCAGGCTCACCCTGCCAGATCTTGCCTCGCACTTTGGTGCCAATCTGCCATCGCTAGGGCCAGGCCAGCTACCGTCACCTCGTCGTCCGAAGCCTCGCGGCGTGGATTTAAAGGCCTTCACAATTCGATGATGATGAGGCTTCGATTCTAGGATTCAATGGACTTTTCGAAAGGGTCTGTATAATTCCGCGATGATAAGGCTTCTGATCAGGATTCTTTACAGGGGTTTGTAGTTACGAGGGTTCCAATGTTATGAACAGTCGGAGATGAGAGGACGACGATGTCGAGGATGATGACGTCCTTTACGATGACGACAAGCATGAGGAAGAGAGGAAGCGGATCCTCTTGCTCCTGACTACATATGGGGAAGAAGCAGCTGCTGGTGGTGCTGATGTTGACCATGATGACAATGAGGGGGGAGAAGAACCAAGATGGATATGATGCAACTGGAGATTAACATATGGGATACCCCAGTCTAGCCTGAACCCACAACTCAAAACTCTACCTTCCGGTTGATAAACTATGTCGCGGTGGCCTCGGAGACAAGAAGCTCCCGGCCGCTGCGCAAGGCAGCTCCATCAGCAGCCGCCAGAACCTTCGGGAATTGGGGTCGGGGGCTTAGAGTTTACAGGCTGTGATGTTTGTAAAGACTTTCGTAGGGTAGGCTTTTGTGGAGTCTCAACTTACCTTTGGTTAGTAGGGAATGGATGAATGGTAGTATATAGTCGTTATAACTGTACCCCATTCCTGCATTCCCTACTAACCATTACTAGCCAATGGTAAGTCAATCCTAGATCCTAGACCCTCAATTTCCGAAGCAGCTTGGAGATCAGGGTGTGCAGCTGAGGTTTCAGGAAGCCTTAAGGCAATATAGTGGAAGTGGCTTGCAGTTTTTGTCCTGGTTTTCTTAGGCGACAGCTTCCACAGCCAACAAATACCTACAACGATTCTGACAAAGTTGCTGGTCCAAGTTTGGGATTTGAAGCGATGGAACTGCGTTACTGTTGGGAACGTGCTAGAAGGAGCCTCTGCTTGCTGTTGAACGGTGCTGAGGTCATGCCCCGGATCATGGCTTCGGGAGTTTAGGGCTATAGTCTAGTATAGTAATAGATAGTAATAGTATAGTATGATATATAATCATAGATTATGGTATATTATAGCACATTTTGATATGCCATCGTATAATGGGATTACCCATAGGCCCCAAAGTAGTTCCTTTTTGGGACGACCTTATGGATTCTATATAGGAACCCCAAAAAGGGACTGCTTTGGGGCCTATGGGTAGGGCCTTGGGCTCCGGGATCGCTGGTGTTCGCTTTTTCTGTGTCCCCCATCGAGCATTTGATCGGGGTTCCGGTATGGGAGTTTCCGAAAATCAGGGACCCCAATATGGTGCCCTAAATGGTAGGATCCTTCTTATAAGGGCTCTTGCAGATGTCAGTATCGAAGGATGGACGATCTAAATCGGGACACGAGCTTCCCAGCTTGAGGACTAACAAACATGGGAGTTTCCGAGAAAAGGGGACCTTAATATAGCAAGCGTAATAGTAGGATCCTGATTATAAGGGCCCCCCCAAAAAAATCGGAAACTCCTACATCTCCGTTCTGTGCAGTGTGGCTATATGCACGGTGGTTTCCCTTTTTCTCACTTTCGAAATCTGGCTCCGATCTGCCGGAGAGGTATAGCATGTCAGAAGTTGAGACACCTAGCCTGCGTGTAGTGGCCAAGTGATAGCGTTCCGGACGTTCCGAACGGCTTTATATTCCCAACATATCAGGCAATCCCACGGAATAAGTCGGATTCTTCCTGTTTCAACCCAGTTTTCGGGCACCTTCTCTTCCGGCACACCAAGAGTGGCCAAATCCACGGCGAAGGCCTCGCCAGGAAATCTGCAATCCCACTTGTGGTAGACTGAGTGAGAACAGGATCAACCTGTTTAGTTGCTTCAGAGCTTCGGGGTTCACGGGTTTACGAGTTTAAGGTTTGGGGATCCACAAACTCTGAGAAATAGAAGTGTTATGCTTGAGTCTGCTATCATTGGGACCATTGCAGGGCCAGCATGGAAACTTATAGATACGCGGCCACAGTGACGCAATATGTTGGCCGCAATCATTTGAGCATGGGTTTGGACTGAACTAAGCTGTATCTTGAATTCAGCCCAGCTTCTCCTAAAAAGCCAATCATCGCAATTTGTGGCGGGGTTATCCATAGGCCTCATAGTAGTTCCTTTTGGGGCTCACATTTAGAATTCTCTTAGGTGATCCCAAAAAGGAACTACTATGGGGCCTATGGGTAAGCCAGATTCACCAAAACCTAACCCGGTTCGGAGCCCGAAACCTCAATGTAATCCTAAACCCGAAACCCTGAAAGTTAAAACCGAAAGCCTAAACCCATAGATCCCTTGAACCCCTAGAAACCGTTAACCTTTTAGAGCCCGGTATACTACGCATGAACACCAGAAAATTAAGCTGCCGGGGTGTGCCTCCGCCTTGTGTGGAAGCGCACAGCCGCTGGAACCGTAGGTTTCGGCAAGTGGGCCCAGGTATATCAAATCCTCGGACGGACCCGGCAAAATCAGAGTGCTCTAGGGTTTACGACTAGGTCCTTAGCCCTTATTTCCAGCGCCAAGAATAAGCCCGTGACCGACAGCCGACAGCATAGTGAAAAAGGTGCTTGAAACGACTGCAAAGCCCGGTATACCTTACCTAGACCCCCCAAAAGTAGGTAACATAATGGCCCAAAACCTATAGAAGGCTATTATTCTACATACTTTTGGGGTCCAGGTATCAAGCTTGTGAAGCTCCGGATTCTCCCCCTCAAACCTAAAGTCTCCCGCCCCCAACTGAGTGAGCCAATGCCAAGGATCTTTGGCCACAGAGGCCTCGGGCTAAGGGCTTCGGGCTTTAGGGTCCTTTTGGTTGGATGCAGGGTTTGGGGTTTAAGGTTTAGGGTTTGAGTTTGGGTTGCTTGTTGTTCTTCGAGAGTGGATGCGTGATTCTGTGTCCGTAGAGGGATCATTGGGCGAAGTAGCTTGTAATCTAAACTTGTTACTATTGGGGATGATCAATGGAGCTTGCTGTAGGAGTCGGGGGGGTAAGCGGTTTTGAGATTTCCGTCCATGCAAAAGGCAGCGGAGCTGGTGTTGGGGCACGTTGGCCTAGCGCGGTTCTGTGGTGTCATCCGATAGTTCCTACAGAGCCATGGGAATTGAGTTTGCCTCACTACTTGGGGTAAGGTTGTAGTCGGTGGAGTTCTGTGAGCTTTGATATGCAAAAAACCTTCATGGTCTCTCATACATCTATAGGACATAAGCGTGTCTTAAGTTGGGGCTTCGAGCCTAGGCCGGAGGACTAGGATTTGCTGATTTGCTGCTACGGTCGGCAACGCAACATCTTTGTCACTACAACCCCTGAACCCTACACCGATGAAACACACATTCCCTGACCACGTGCTTTGTTTCACAGAGGCTTATAGAATAACTAAACTACGGCTTTGGAGGTATATGATAATATGAGCATGTTCAGCAACCCAAGGCATCATGCAGGTGATTGCTCAAGCCTCGGTATTATAGTGTGTGTGTGTGTGTGTGTGCTTGATCTTTGCCTGTAAGTTGCACCCAAGTATCCAAGTTGTCGATCGTAAACAAGGCCTCTGAAGGCCAACAAGGGAAACTATCAAATGTCCCAATGACGTACCGGTTTAGGGTTCAGCTTTTGTAAGTTGCAGGCAAGGATCCAAATTGTCGATCTGGCCGCGCTGCAGCCAAGCCAAAGAAGTTTTTGTGGCCAGGACGCGCTTGGTGTGAACCTGAGGACCCCCCGCTGTTGGCAGGGTTAGGATGCCGCTTGTAGGGCATAAACCAGTCAAAACCCAAAACCCGATGGAACGGAGTCTGTGGTACTGAACCTAGGACCCAAAATCATGTCCATCCCACTGAGAATGAGAACGCGCTCGAAGTGTTGGGGTTGCTGAAGCTTGGGGTTAGGGTTTAGGCGTGCATGTTCGGATGCTGTTGAGGATTTGATAAGGGTGACTGATCAGTCTGATAAGGGCTTTGGGCAAGCTTGGGGGAGCTCTACACCACGTTTATGAAGCAAGCCCAAGGAATACAGACAAATGTTACAAATGCTTGACTTCAGAATCTAAAGTCCCCCCAAACCTTGTGCATCGAGCCGCGTTCTCTTTGTTACGCCCATACGGGATAAGTGCAAGATAGCGTTTATAATGTTGATGGGAGGCCTAAAAGGGTGGTTTTTGATTGTTGGGGTAGGATTCCCTAACCCTCATCCCTCCTAAACCCCCATGGTCTAAAATGGGCTAAAGCCCCTTTTGGCCTCCTATGAAAGGTTTTGAGTCCTGGCATTATTAGGCTTGGGATTTAGATTTCAAGGCTTATATGGGTCGTTGTCAAAACTAAGGTCCCTTGTTGGGTTACTCAAAAAAAAGGTGCCGTATCATCATGGGGACCCCAAAAAGGGACCCTTCGGCTAAGGCTTCAAGGCTTTAGGCTTCGCGGCCACGGGTGATTTTAATCAGGCTGTCCGGTACCATATAGTATACATATGAGCAGGTGCCCTCAGGAATACTAGTACTAGTTCCTATCCTTTCTTGCGGCGCAAAAGATACGAGTTCGTGGTCCCCTTTGCCGTTCTTAACTGGGCTTTTGAAGTAACCAGAGAGAAAAAAGTATAGACTTTTGTTTCATAACCGGTTCCATATCCTCGCCCGAAGCTCAGGGAATCCTACTTAATTCAGAATTCCGTTACTTCACCGTGCAAACCCTGAACCTTGAACCCGCCAAAACCGTAACAACGCAAAACGCGATACCAAACTTTACGAACAAATCACATAAAGTAGAAACCCGCAGCCAAAGAGGCACCACAAGGAAGCGCGCCGAAGGTCCTTCGGACAGTTGACGGATGGCCTTCCAAGCGATGTTTTGTTGCGGAGGCCAGAGACCCACGGTAGCTCGGTAATTTATGGGTATGAGGGTTTAGGGTTTGGGATTCTCTAAATTTGGGTTCCTTTTCGGATCCTTTTTTTAGGATGCTGTACCCATATGTACCAGGTTGCCGTACCAATAGCTGGAATTGGAGTGTACGGTCAATGTCCAATTGTGCAGGTAACTGGGCTTCTAGGCGAGTTTTGAGGATGTTGGAGTTTTCAGGATTGGATGTCATGATCTAGGATCTGTACTTCTGATGGGCGAAATCGGGTGACTGTTCCCACAACTCGTCAGCCCCAAATCTAACCCAGCTACAGCGCACAACGGATCCCGTTTAATAGTAGCCAAGGGAAAGCAAGCCATAATAGTTTAAGTCGAAAATATGGGAGTTTCAAACCTTTATTATAATACTCTAAATAGTAGGATCCTTCTTGTAAGGACCCCAAAGTAAGGTGCCCCTATTTGTTGAAACTCCCATGTATCTACTGCACGCATTGCTATGTTTAGACCCATAGGGTAGTAGTCTTTGCCTCGCCATCCTTGCGTGACGCCAAGGCTGCGGCACGATCCACGGGGCGGCCACAGAAGCGCATGGTGCAAACCGCCGCCGAAGGAGTGAAGGACAAGAAGAAGAAATAAGAGTTTCGTATTTTACATACACAGGTAGCCTTGGGGTGGGGTTCTGAAAATGAGGGTCCTACCGCTTAGGGGCAATTTTTCAAGTCTTGCTTGCTATCAGGGTCCTTTCTCAGGGGTCCTGCGAGGATCCACCATTTCGGGTCTCGTAGGTGTAGGGGTCTTTACATTGCGGCCCTCGGTATCAAGACACTGCTCAACCACGCGCTCTCGGGTTCAGGGGTTTCAGGCTTGGGGAGGGCAGCTCCGGGCTTGGGGTATCTGCGCTTCGGTTCATGGAGCTACTCTGTGAACTTTTGAGAAGTCCTAAGGCAGCAGCAAAACCATGGAGCGCCCGAAACACCAAACTCAAGCCTTTGGGGTGTCAGTGTCGGCCCCGAGCCGAGAAACATCTTAAGACCCACGGTAGCATCGCGCATTCGGGTACATAGCACGCGGGGTGCCTGACGGCAAATACTAATTATTCAACTTGCGCGGACCGCGTACCTAGGATTTCATTTAAGGGTTTAAGATCCTGGTGCCCCATGCAGCTGCCAAATACGAACTTGCATGATTGTTCTCTGTTGAAGACTCAGGGTCTGGATGCTCCATAAACATGGACATACAGCTCGAAACTAGTTTACAACATGGGATCCTGTAGCACGCACATTTTGTGCTCCAGCTGGTTCGACAGGTGGAGCCAAATGCAAGGATACACATAAAATTCAGCAGGGCTACAGGAATTAAACCCTTCGCCCTAAACGCAGACCTTTAATTCAAGCTTCAACCCTGAAGCCCTGATAGCCTCCTTGACAACCGTGTACAACCCAGAAAAGCCTTCAAGACACTCCTTAAGCACATGCAAAAAACGGGAGACTCCTTTGAACACAGACAATGGCGAAAGCTTCTCTGAGGCATCTGCCATCAGCGGTCTCATTTTTCAGAGAGTCCACCAACTCCTGTGACCAAAATACCCATAAGCCCCAAAGTAGTTCCTTTTTGGAGTTCATATCACATATATAGAATCCTCTATATATATATATATATAAGGTAGTCCCAAAAAGGAACTACTTTGGGGCCTATGGGTAACACGAATCGGAACTTAATGCTCTGGCTGACGGTTCACACATTTCGGGTATGAGTCAAGGGACTTAGCAAATCGACATCTTACCCCAATCCTTAATCGCCCCAACTGGGCCCTAACCAATACAAATCCTAACCGTCCTAACCCCTGAATCCCAAGCCCTTCTTTGTCGCTCTACCCTTACACACTGAGCCTCGTATTCATTTTCCTATGTGCCCCGATATTGAATTCCCCAAACCGTCTTTTACTCTGGACCCCTAAATTGCCTAGAGACCCCGACACGAGGGTGTAGGGCTTTCAATGTTCCCTAATCCTCCAGCTAGAACACGCGACAAACGAAGAATCAATCAGGTCCCTTCTAAGAAAGCCAGAAGCAGGGATAAGAAGGGTCCCCTGTGCCGGGTCTCCCTAAGACTAATATTAATTACCTAAGATATATGATCTGCTTGAAGGTGGCGCGGCCTTTGGGGACTTAGAAAAGCTTAATTAAGGTCCAGAGTAGGGTTGAACGAGCTGATTTTCAATCTCCATGGTCTAGGGTTTAGGGTTTAGGGATGGCTGATATACTCACACTCTACAGTAAGTGTATAGTAACAGTTCTGAGGATATGATCTGCAAGACACTGCGCAAGAGCTCGAGGGTTCTGGGCTTGAGCTTACGCTTACAGTAGGGCTGAGGGGATACTGCATTTGAGCTTCAGTCAGAGACCATAAGGCTGAGCAATCAGGAATCAGGAGCTTACCTTCAAGTTCGTGCTGGAGAAAAGTAAGGGGATGAGGTCTTGAGATTTCAAATCTGTGCCACTAAGTCGCGAAATCCTCCAAGCTTTGCCCTTTGGTCTTTGCTCTACCGCAGATCAGCAAAACAAAGGCGTAGGGCTCAGTCTCTACGATCACCAGAAGGAGGCATTTGCCAGCCCGCGCTGTTTACGCGGAAGGCATGTCTTCTCGTAAAGCAATTCTTTCGGCACATTTTGAACGACGAGTCAACGCCAGGATCTGCCGACTGAAACTTGAATCCAGTACAGCTGCCTTTAGGTGCTACTGGCTTAGGCGCCTAAAGACTTTTGAACTTTCCGAAAATGAGAGCGTTCTGACTGACTTTGCAGAACCGCGAGTGCTGCTGTGGACACTACTTGTACGGTTGAGCTTTCAGAGTTTCGGGTCGAGTGTTAGGATCATTGACTGGCAAATTCAAAACAGTTACCAAAATTCGAGGGCAAAGCATAGAGTGAGCCGAATGTAACAGCATAGGCAGGATATGAGGTGAGTGCCTTGAATCGTTAATGAATTACCACGGAGCCTTTAAGTTGGAGTCCTCAGTTGCTGCCCAGTACAGGGATCTCGATTGCGCTAGGGCTTGGGGAGCAGTAAAGACTAAGAGACTTACCTCTCTTCAGAAATAGCAGCTCTTAGCACGTACGGTTCGGGCTGAGGAAATCCTGTTCTGAGGGTTTTAAGGGGTGTTGACTTGTAGGGTTTTAAGTCCGGTTTTGGAGTTTTCAACAGCTTTTAAGCTCAGGAGATTTGTTGAGGGCTGCAAGGCTAAACCCTAAACCCTAAACCCCTAAACCCTACACCCTAAACCCTCGAGCCAGCTTGGGAGTGAAAGGATCGATGTTCGAGACAGACATCCGGTAAGCAAGCGGCAGGAGTATCTCGCCTCTGTCCGCTTGAACATCTGCAAGTAGCTGTGGTAGTGACCTCTCTCACTTCTTGGCTTCGGTGGCTGGGAGATCGTAGCGTGATTTGGAGGTTGGGGCTTCCGAGACACGAAGGCTTCATGGAAATGTCTTGAAGACTCCATTGACTTTAGAGGTTAGGCTGGAAATTAGGGTTAAGTTCAGGGTTTAGGGACACTGAAGATCCTCACAGAAAGCTGCAGCCGCTCCGAGACTTTATGTAGCAATCGATGATCAAGATCGGTGTAATGTCTCTTTGTTATGTTTCACTGCCGCCATCTTGAACTAGAAAACCAAGATCCTCAAACCCTGAGCAGGGCTCTGCTATGGCCTAACAGGCCTTTACGCTCACTGGCATGAACTACATGGCCTCAGATGCCGAGAACGCATGCACAGATCTGACGTTGCCTCTACGCTCGCTGTAATGCAAATCAATCCCTTCATCTTCAGCAACACCTCGCACCTTAAGAAGATACACGACCCATGTAAATTTTTACGGGAACCCTAACCTAAGGAATATGGGCTCTGACTTATTCATGCCCGCTTGTCGTGGGGGCCTGCAGCAATGCACCAATGTTGCTGTGAGTCATACCGGCGTCAGTGAGTAAGTCGGCTCACCATTTCGCCTCTTCGCACGAGCTCCTCCACGAACCCGTTCTTTGCAACTGACGTGTTGAACAGGTGGCCATAGTGCTGCAGAATCTTGCACTTGCCGGCGGTCCAGTCATGGTCTTCTGGCGGTTGCCAAACAGCAGGAAACCCGACTGCACGCCTTGAGTCGGCCTTGAGCTGCTTAAGATTTGGCCGGGAGCCGCCACGCGCTGGCGAGTACAGCGGCAGCCGATGGCCTAACGCAAACATCCTTGGTCAACATGCTGGCCACGAGTTGAAGTCAGGTATCAGTGTTGAAGGGAAACTTTAGGGCACAAGGTTTTCAGCATCTGGAGACTTGTTTTGCCTTGTTTCTGAAGCCCTAAACCAGAAAACCTGGAACACCAGAAATGGAATCTCTCGTTCCACGATTCCTGCTTGAATGCCGAAGAAAGAAGCTTGTGATCTAATCAAAGCCAAAGCCGGAATCCTGAACCTAGGCCCCAGGCCCCACACCTAACTCACGTAACCTTAAACCTGAAACCCAAAACGCCCTGAGCAGGTCCGTGCGAGTACTAGCATACCCATACTTAAACCAAAAACATTGCATGTACACTCGCCAGTAGTCACAAGGAGCCGTAGATGTCCTCACCACAACCCCAGACCCTAAACCCCAACCTACACTCTACTACATGTCATGCCGAGAGGCAGGAAGAAGGCTTCAGATCGAGCCCATCTGGGTCCGATTTCAGGGGTTTAGGCTTTCTCGGATTCAGTTTTTCCCCAACCGCGCAAACAGCCCGAAACCCCAGATCCTAGACTCGAAGGGTTGGGGCTCAGTACCCCAAGCCCTCTAGGATTCCTAGACCCGAAGACTGAATTTAGCGATTTCAAAAGAATTGGGGTTTGGGGTTCTGCTTTCAAGTACGCAAAACTCAGTGAAAGGATTCTCGGACCAGGTAGACTTACTATGGCTTGCTCGCTACATGCCCAACTAGAGCCCGCACATTGTGGGGACCCCAAACAAGGTAACAACATCAGCATTGCCATCCACCCTGTAGCGCCTTTGTGATTAGAACTACAAAGTCATTGAAACGCCGTTTATACATATATATATATATATACACGGACACAGAAATGGAGAGAGCTAGATCGATAGCTAGATAGGTGGATAGATAGATAGATAGACAAAGAGATAGACAGACAGACAGACAGACAGACAGACAGGCAGACATGCAGATAGACAGACAGATAGATTTGTAGATCCAGATAGATAAGTAGGTAAGTAGGTAGGTACGTAGATTGATGTGATGTGTATGTGTTTACATATACATACACATATACATATCCTTATACATGTGCATATGCAAATGTATACACATACATGTATGTGCATGTATGTATATGTATGTACCTGTACGTACATGTCCTGGTTTAGTCTCCAACTGCGAGAAATTCTAGTTGCGGCGGCTTCGGGAAAGGGTTTTGGTGTTTTTGGGGCTCAATGAATATGTCGGCTATTGGAGCATAGTATGACTGGTGCATGAAGAAGTATGTGTTGGGCTCCCAACTCCTCCTCCCCGCAACAGTTGTCATGATTCGGTTACGATGTAGGACTTCTCTCTTAAGATTTCGGGCATAGTTTTGCTGCTGCGGTGAAGGCATTGGGTTTACTATCTAGTCGAGGGTTTGGGTGTTAGCCGGCAGGGTCCAGGATTTGGGACGTAGTCATCCTTGTCCTTGTGTTTATAAACTTTCTGTGTCGTTCATCTAAGATGTCATATTGCAGGTGTTCAGCTGGACCTTTCGGCTAGTTGGCATGCTAGGTTTAAGAATTAGGGAATTTGGGGTTCAGGGTATGTCTTTTGCCCCGTATCTGTAGGTTTCCGGGATAGGATTGGGTCCTTGTTGGGTGATGCTTTTTAAAACTGCTAACAAACAAACCCCGAGCTACCGGGAGAGGGTTGGGTCCTCGGTGAAACCGAACCCCAAACCCCAAACTCCCAGACTCAAAAGCTTCTGCACCAGAACCTCCCAAAAAGAGTCCTTAAACCCGGAAGATGGAACCCCCCTAAATTCCTAAACCCTAAACCCCTAAGCCCTAAATTTACTAAACCCTAAACCCCTAAGCCCAAAACTTCCTCAACCCTAAACCCTACATTTCCTACACCCTAAACTCTTTCGCCCAGGACGCATGGCTGCAGAAGAACCATCGAAGTATCAAAGGCGCCCTGCACTCTCTCTCAATGCCTCTCTCTCTCTCTCACTCTCCCTCTCTCTCTTACCTTTGGTTAGTAGGGGATGGAAGAATGGTAATAATAGTAGTTATAATTGTACCCCATTCCTCCATTCCCTGCTAACCAACGGTAAGCTCTGAAAGAGGTTACGTGACGGATCATGGAGCTGGATAACTTGACGGTTATACGGGTTTAGTTTAAGCTCATAGGACTTGGTAACTTCAACGGTCAATAACGGTTATACGTAATATGGGTTCTGTAGAGGTGACCTAAGGCTTCTCTGCGGCTTGTCTGAAGGAGGATACTTAACAAATCATGGGCTTGCCGATCTTTCAAACCGGGAGGAAGGGCGTACTTCAGTGAGTGGCATTTGGGAAATTCCTATTTTTACTATCAAGGATTGAACGTTTGTCGTCTGATGAGGCTTTTTCGGGTCTTCTGTCGAGGCCTACATGAAAGCACAGGGCTTGGGTGGTTCTTAAGGCTGGGAACAGTCGGAAGCCCTAGACCTCAAACGTAAAACCTTGAAGCCCTCAGCTCAAAAACCCCAAACCCTAAAAAGCCTGAAACCTGGAAAGCAAAATGTCCGAACACCTTGAAATCTTAAAAGCCTGAAACCCTAGCACCCGGCAACCCCAAGCCCTACAAGCCCAACAATGCAAACCCGAAAATTCCCAGCACCTTAAACCCTGAAAACACTAAGCTCGTAAGCCCAAGACACCTAGGACTCAAAACTTCAAGACACCCCGGGGAGGGCTGCTAGCTAGTTCGGACCTTGCCGCTGGCATCCCGCGTTTCGGTGTTCTTGGAGAGGCAGTGGGGTTCTAGGTTGAGGGCTTGGGGGGTTAACTTTAAGGTTTAGGGTTTTTGCTGAGGCTGTAGCGCTGAGGGGTCAACACCTTTACTGCAGGAAAGGTCTAGGTACTTCAGGGTCTGGGGTTTACAGGCACTCTAGGGATAGGGCTGCAGGTACTTTCATCATAGGGTGTGGGCCAGCTCAGGGATGTGTTTCGAGGTAGTGTAGGATAGTGTAGGGATAGGTTTGGGAAGTTTTGCCCAGGTCCTGCAGTGAACATCCGTAAGCTGCAACCCCAGAAAACATGCTACGACTATCGCAACGGTTCTACTCTACATGGCTTAGGAGCACAGCGCTGCCGGATAGGGATGCTTCTGGTGTGCTGGTCCTGAATACCCTCCATATCATTTCTGTCGGAGTCTGTCGGGCTTTGGTGATTCTTCGAGGGAAAAAGCCATGTTGAGGTAATACAGTCAGACTTCAAGGACACAGCAAGCGGCAGCAGAATGGTAAACTTGACTGTGGACCACAGTCTTAGCCTCAGATGTAAAAGGATGCATGCGTGCTCTGGCAAGAGGAGGCACTGCGAAGCTCGGGGTAGCGTGGTTTGGGCATTGGTGCTCCTGCTCGGGGATACACCCGTAGAAGCCATCCTCTCTCAACCGTAAGACCTCCTCCGGCGTCAGACCCCACGAAATGGCATGTTCTGAGCATTGCCAGGGTACAGTCCTTGCAGCAATGGTACTAACACGTACGATCCTTCATGAAGCCTACAAACGAACCCCGATTCCCTAATATAGGCGCGTTTATAATTACACTAGGGTTTTGGGCCCATTATAGTAAGTAGTTATGATGTATTATAGGGTATGTATTTAACCCCCCAAATTACAACTCGCAATTGGGGCCGCAAAACGGCCTCGTCCTACGCGCAGCCCCTGCAGATCCCCTTGAGGTCCCCAGCCAAGGCATCCAGCGACGCGTTCCAGCCCTGGCGATTTCTGAGAGGCGATGCGTTTGGGAGCCTGAGATTAAGGGATTCAGGGATTCAAATTAGGTTTAAATGTGTGGGTTTATTATGGTTTGGGATACCAGGTTCAAGGGTTGATCTGGGTTTGCAAAAACACGAATTTCGTGCTTCTGTGAGGGTTCATTGGGCTTCACTAGGCGCTTTATGGCTTACACAGATTTCGGGGTGGGCTGAACTTTGTTGGTTTAGTCTCTCGGGTCGGCTGGCAGAGACATCAAGACTTAAACGGCTCACAATTCAGGGTTAAGGTTTCGCACAATACGGCTTCCAGGCTTTTTGGGGGATTCGGGACGTAGGGTTTAGGGCATTGCGGTTCAGGGAAGTCCTACTGTGAGGGAGGGCCATTTGAAGAACCATGGGCCCATCAATTAGGTATTCCAATTCGGCAACTACACGTCAGCATATTCTAGCCCCAATCACAGTTTGTGTGTATATATATATATATATATATATATATGAATTTCCTGGAGCCAGGCTTCACAAGCATGGCAAAGTGATCAAAACGGAGAATGCAAAAGTCCCGCGTCTTCAAATGAACGCAGGTCCCATATTCGCTGGCTTAGGGCGGGATGGCACTGGATTTCGATTTTAATTGTCAATTAAAATCGAGTTTAATATCCGCCCGCAGGGCGGGCCGTGTCGGCCAGGGACATCAATTAACATCGATTTTAATACCTTCCAGGGTGACCTGACCAGGCACACAGGTGTATTTACATCGATTTTAATACATATGGACGGCCACTCCGCCCGGGAGGTATTAAAATCGATTTTAATACTTTTTGCTTGGAGGACGGTTTCCAGAGCAGGTCAGGGTTTCGGGAAGAGTTTCGGGTTGAGGTCCTCGGGTTTCACAGGGCTGTGGGTTCATCTCTAGGGGCTTTGCAGCACTCTGAGGGTAGACGGTCTAGGGTTTAAGCTTGGGTGTCGGTTTCAGGTTGTCGGGCTTCACAGGGCTCCTTGTTGGGTTTAGGGCGCAGGGCCTTGGGTTCAGGTCTTTCGGCTTTGCAGGACTCTGAGGGTACTGTAGAGCGTCGAGGGCTTAAGGTCTAGGGGTGAGGTCCGCGGAGCTCGGTCCTTGGGTTTCAGGTTCACGGCTTTGGGTTCAGGTCTTTCGGGTTTGCAGCACTCTGACGGCAGAGAGTTTACGGAGGCGCCGACCAAAGTTGCAAAGGCCAGCCAGGTTTTACTTCAGGAGGCCCACCGCAGGTACCAGCGCCAGGCTCCGCGACCATTGGCAGCCAGCTTTCAGCTAGTGCCGGGCTTCTTTCGCAACGCAGATGATTCCCATGCTGCAGTGTTGCGCAGTCTCCTGCCGGGCGTCTCTGGCGTCTGCCTTGTTGATGCACCCGAGGCCCCGAAGTTGCTACAAGCGTATTCCAAATCCTGTCCGGATGAGTTGGGATTGGTGGTGTTGGGCCACGAGTGCCCGGATCCTGCCTCCTGCCAGGGTGATTGCGGTGTGCCAGCCACTACTAGCACTGGCGAACAGGTCATCTTGCATGCTTGTTGGCACAATCTTGGCCAGCGTGACCTGCACATTCAGTGTGAGCATGACGTCACCATGGCGCCCCCAGAAGCCGTCTGCATTTGCTTTACCGTCTTCAGGGATGAACATCCAGCTGCAGAATGGCTGAGCCTCACCAGGAACCCAGTTCGTGCCATCCTGGACAAGCTGCGCAATAGCGGGGCTGATGTTTCTCTGGAGGCCCCGTGGGGCCGCAGCTTTAGATTGGCCAGCAAAACTGCTACACCGGCAGACTGTGATTCGGTCCAATTTCATGGCCGTCTTCCTCGAAGTGAATTGCTGCCGGTGCTCAGAAAGTCAGGTCACAACTTGGTGTACGCCACGCCCAAATCCTGGCGCCATGAAGTGATGTCGGGCTTCTCTGTCCTATGGACTACAGGGGGGCGAGATGAAGCCATTGCGCAAAGCTTGCAACTTAAGGACCAGCTCGGCATCGTTCGGTCTCGGCAGCGTTACGGCATTCGCCTGGAGGAATCCTCCTTCCAGGCCGCATGGTCGCAGCTCAAACCTGGCATTGACGCTCCCCCCAAGGTGGTGGTGAACTCACTGTACAAGCTCCTGTCGGTGCCCCCAGATGTCAGAGCACAGGACCTTCAAACTTGGGCCGCTCATCTCAAATGGAAGGTACGCCCGCTCCGCTCTCTAGGGCCCCGTGAGTGGTTGGTTGGAGCTGATGGGCCCCCGCCGCCTGGACTTTACAGCATCAACCGCCAAGCCATCTTGATCCAAAAGGTTGAAGGCCGCCAGGACGCACGCCCAATTGTTCGAGCCGGGCGCTTGCCCCGCACAAGGGAGACCTCCGCGGAGCTCTCAGGGGATGTCGACCCGTTGCAGGCCAATGACCCATGGAAGCAATACCTCAAGACTACCGGCTCCGCTGTGCCAGCGGCTGCTCCAGCGGCTTTGCCAGCCCCACGGGCACCGCCTGCGCCCACGCAGCACAAGTTCGACCAGCAGGACGAGCGCCTTCAGAAGCTTGAAGCAGGTCTGGCGGAGGTCCAACGAGGTCATCAGGCCATGGCGCAACAGGTTGCAAGCACTCAGGCGCAGGTAGAAGGCCAGGTGAAACAGGTGCGTGCGGAGCTGGGCTCTTTTGCCCAAGATTTTGCCAATCAGTTGCAGGTGAATGCGGAAGCCCAGCAGCAGGCCCAGGCTCAGCAGCAACTCCAACTCCAGCTTGGACTTCAGGAAATCAAGAATCTCCTGTTAGCCCCGACAAATCGTGGCAATCCGGGACCTGGCGCCACCAAGCGCCCTGCAGATCAGAATGGTGAGGGCCTCCCTCCCATGGAGCTTGATCATATGTGACTTGCGCACAGCGCCCACACTCGTGTTCCTGGCGCGTGTGTAGGGTGGCCTTTCGCTGGGCAGACAAACTTCGCCCCAGTGTCAACCAGAGAATCTTCTCGCAGCAGCTGCCCTGGCCTAACGCTTTCAAAGGCCTCCCCAGTTGCAGGGTATCAGCCATTTGGGCTGCTAGGGGTTTTGATCGGGTTGCTTGGCGTGCCTCGGTCTTTTTGCTGTGGTCCATTGGATACCGATTTGGTGAGGCTCTAAATCCCGGGCCCACCGAAAGTTCCCTTCTCACTTTGGCCGTCATTAACCCCACCACCATTCTTGATAAAGAATGGCAAATTCAACAGGTTGGAGCCGATGTGCTTCTTGCAAGTGAGACCTCCGCCAACCAGCGGGTTCGGAAGATTATGAGTTCCAAGTTACGGGGTTTGGGGTTCCGTTGTATGTGGGGCGCGCCCACATTGGATCGTTTTCATGCTGGCACTGGCCAACCTATGCTTCGCAGTTATGCCTCTGGCGTTGCTGCCATCTCCCGTGTGCCGTGTCGGCCTCCTTTGCAGTCTCTCCTTCCGGAGCAAGCCAGCAGTTGTCGCATCACCGCATGTTTTATTAGGGTCCGTGCCTTGGAGATCAAGGTGATAGTGGTTTACGGCACGCCCAGATGTCTGCCGGATGCGGCCCAACACAACAACCGTCTCCTGGCATGGGCCTTTCAGAGAGCCAAGATTTCCTGTGGGCCTGCTCTTGTGGGGGGCGACTTCAACACGCTCCCGCAAGACCTTCCTGCCTGGGAAAGCTTTGCGCAACAGGGCTGGGTTGAGCTAGGGGAATTTGCTGCGGCGGCTTATAACTTGGAGCTTCCTTGCACGTGCAAAGGCGCCACAAGGTTTGACACGTTTCTTCTGCCGCCCAGCTTGTTTCAGTTCTTCCACAGTGCGGATGTGCTTCAGGATGCCCACCTCTTCGACAGCCATGCGCCAATGCGCCTTCGACTCAGCATCCCCGGGGCGACGGTGCCCCGCTGGATCTGGCCTTCCCCGAAGGATTTTGCCACCCTCCTCACTTCCACTGCCGATCTGGGGCATCACTACAACCAGCAGTCGGAGGCTACTGCTTCTGTTTTCGAACCTGCTGTCCCAGAAAGTAAGCCTGGGGATAAAATTCGCCTTTGGTCTGCCACGGTGGAGGCAGCTGTCCATGCCAACATCAAGGAGCAGCATGCCAAAGCTCCCCAGGTACAAACCCACAAAGGCCTGCCGCGGGCTTATCGCGGCCGCTGCCGGGAGGTTGAGCGCAAACAGGCATGCCCTCCACGCCTACCGCGAGCGGGCCGTGCAGGGGACCCGGAGCCCTACGACGAAGATACAACCATTGTGGGTCGCCAGCGGCTTCGACAGCTGCGCCGCCTTGTCACTTTCCGCCAGGGCCTTGCCAAATTCCTGGCAGGCAATTACAACGCTCGGGCTCCGCGGAATCAGGCTGGCACACCCTTGTCTCTGTACCAGGAATGGCGCGCCATCGCTAGTGCCACTGGGTATGGGCGCTCTTTCCCCCTGTGGCTCCTCCAGTGGCCTTGTTTTACCTTCTGGCCCCAGGGCCTCCCAGAGATGGCCTATCTAGACGATTTGGTGAGCTTTGTCAGGTTCGATGTGGCTGCCGTCAACCGGCAGAATGCCAAAGTAAAAGCTGACCTCTTTCGCTTCAAACTGCAGGTGGATGAAACGGACTACAGTTGTGCCAAGGCCTTTGCCTGTGTGCGTCCGCCCAGCAAGCCCCCTTTTCAGTGCGTGCAGCTGGTCTCTGATCAGGATGCTGTGACGGTGCAGCTGCATAACCACCAGCTGCGTACCTTTCGGGTTCGGGATGCCAGCAAATTCGACGTGCTTTGTCATGTGAGCTTCATGTCAGTGCCGGGCCAGGTCACCGCCAAAGCGGCCGATGAAATCACTGTCCTGTTTCCACACGATGACGATGCTGTGCTCCCCCTCCACGGTAGCCTGAACCGTTCCCGCCAGGACTGTAGTTGGCAGGGCATCATCGGTGCTCTCATGGATTATTGGCATCCGATCTGGCACCGCGACTCACATGCCGAGCAGGCCGACATTTCCGAATGGCCACAATTTCAGGCCTTGCTTCACCGCCTTGAGAGCCCGTGCGCTGCATTCCAGGTGGACATGCAGGATCCAAACGCCTGGCTACACGTGCTCCGGCGCTTATCTCCCCACAAAGCCAAAGGCATTTGCGGATGGAGTAATGCTGATCTGCGGGTTCTTCCGGCCGCTGCGGTTAAGGATTTGGCTAAAATTATGCATTGCCCGGGAAAGGCCTGCCTTCCTGACGACCTCCTGCGCAGTCGCGTGGCCGTTCTTAGCAAAGTAGATGTCCCCACGTGTGCTTCACAGGCCCGGCCAATTACCATCTTTGGATGCCTATATCGACTGTGGACACGGGTCCTTTGTACGCAGGTCATCAAAGTTTGGAGTCAACAGCTCCCCCCGGGCGTGGCTGGATGCCTTAAACAAAGAAGCGTGGTGGACTTGAGTTACAGTGTGCAAGCTGAACTTGAGGAGCATATGTGCCAAGGGGCTGATTTGTCAGGTCTGTCATTGGACCTCCGGAAAGCTTTCAATTTCTTGCCACGAGCCCCGTGTGCCCAGATTTTGAATTTCCTTGGCCTCCCAAAAACGGTTTGCATGTCTTGGCTAGCTTGTCTGACTAAGGTTCAGCGCCACTTTGAGGTTCATTCTAGCTTAGGCCCCGGTTTGCCCGCTACCACGGGTGCCCCTGAGGGAGATCCGGTCTCCGTGCTGGCCATGCTGGGAATCTGCTTCATGTTTGTGGCCTTGTTGCAAAACCTGGTGCAAGCCCGCACTTATATGGACAATTGGACTTGGTCGGCCGACCAACCGGATTGCCATGGCCCGGCCCTGCTTATCCTTCAGGATCTCACTTCAGCCTTGAAGTTGGAGATTGACTGGAAGAAAACGTATGTCTGGGGCACTGAGACCATTTCACAACGGTGGTGGCGCCAAATTGGGCCCGCCTTCTTGCCTCCTGAGGTGTCTTTGCCGGTGGTTACTCACGTCAGGGAGCTCGGGGCCTTTCTTCAGTTCAGCAGACGACCGCACCGGAAGGGATTTGCAGACCGGGTGGAGGACGCTGTTGAGCGCATGGCCAAGCTAGCCAAAGGTCCGCAGTCCCATCGCGCCAAGGCAAGGGTCTTGCAAAGTGGCATTTGGCCCTTCTTGTTCTTCGGCTCCGAGGGCCTGTGCCCGGGAGCAACCATGGTCCAAAACCTGCGTGGGCATGCCGCCCGAGCGGTAGTAGGGCACCACCATACCATGTCACCATTTGCCGCTCTCTACCTTGCACCCCACGTGCAGGATCCCGAGGTTTACCTCATGTGCCACCACCTGCGGCAGTTGCGCAGGTGTGCTGACCTGTTTCCAGAAATCGCTCGGACCATATGGCACCGATTGGTTTTCAATTCAGTGAGCCAGCGCGGCATATGTGGACCGGCCGGTGCACTTCACGTCCTCTTGACGAGGAACGGCTGGGTGCCTAAAGCGGATGGCTGGTGTAAGGGTCCCCTTAATTGCATCTTCCACATGTTCCGCTCCAACATCCGCACTATCACGCGGATGGTGCAGCTGGCTTGGGCAGATACGGTCCAAGACCAAGTCCAGCATAGAGTGGGCCTCAGAAATGCACCAGTGCCCTTGGCTGCCGTTAACCATCAGGTTCTAGGTAAGTTTCGTCCGTGGGAGCAAAAGATCCTCTTGAGGCACTTTGCGGGAGGTTACATGTCCGGAACTGAAAAGCAAACCTGGTCCAGAACCGATTGTGCAAGCTGCCCCCTCTGCGGACAGGAGGATACCAAGGCCCACCGCATCTTTCACTGCCCAGCTCTCGCAGCAGCACGCAATGAGCATTGTGAGGTCCTACAGCAAGTCCAGCAGCAATGCCCTTACTGGACGCATATGACCTACGCCTCGCTACCGGACCAATGCGCATTGCTGCACCTGCTGCTGCAGCCGCTCAAACTGCCGGCACTGGCACCTGCCCCTGCTGACGACCAGACGTTGTACCTCTTCACCGACGGGAGTGCTCAACATAGCAAGCTTCCACTGGCAAGGGTGGCTACCTGGGCCGTCATCCTGGCTGCCCCTCACCTGCAGGGCCCCATTGCCCGCCGTGAGGCGGGGGCTCGGGAATTGGGCTTTCGTGTCTTGGCACAAGGTTGCGTGCCTGGCGAGCAAACCGTACCACGAGCGGAACTCTGTGCGCTCATTTGGGCCACACGCTGGGCTGACCAAAGTGGCTGCACGGCCAATGTCTACTCTGACTGTCAACCAGCTATCGATGCTTGGGAGCTGTGGCACAAAGAGGGACTTTCCGCGGTTCAGCAGAAGACCTTCTCAGACCTCTTCGGCGACTGGACGCCGCCTGGCCCTTGCTCCGTCCACAAGGTGAAGGCCCATCAAACAGAAGCAGACTGGCAGGTTGCAGATCAATACCAGCGATGGCTGGCGGCGGGAAATGATGCCGCAGACGCGGCCGCCAAGCAGGCCTATGAAGACCTGCCAGAGGTGCTTCGCGACACTGCGGATCAGGTTGCAGGTCACTGTGCAACACAAGCTGCCTTTTTACAGAGTTTTTGCCGCGCTTTGCTGGATGTAGGGGTGTTGGACATCAAGCTTCGAGATTCCGTACGGCGTCACCAATCACAGACCGCGGCTAGCGCTTCTGACAACATAGATGCCTACATGCAGTGTTTTGGTAGCTGGCGGATTTCCAACGGAATCTGTCAGCTCCCAGAGCACATTGAGGCCAATTGGCATGGCTGGCAATTTGGCGAGGCATTTGGCAATGGGCTACTGGATTGGATTGGGCTCCTGGAGTGGCCGTGCCAGCCGGTGCCACCTCACCAAGCGGCGCAGGTCTCTTATCTGGAGTTAGCATTTCACTTCACCTGGACAACTGGGATGGCCCCACCGATGCCCTCACCGGCCGGCAACGGACAGGGATATTGTACCTTGAGTTATGCCTTGGAGCAGTTACAACCGTGCCCGATCAAAACCTTGGTGACGGTATTTGCGGCCGCCCTTAAACAGCTGGGTCGAAGATACAATTTCTGTGTGCTGCCTGGCGTTGAGGAGAAGAACATTCCTCATCTGCAATGGTTTGGCATTCCTGCCCCCTCGCCGGGTGTGTCGTTGCGACCGACTTTACCAGGCGACTGGCACAAGGATTTCCGATGGATGTGCGAGGGAGATGTGGCGAATAGGTTAGCTTCTTTCTGCGCTGCCTAAAACGGGCGAGTGCACCGCGGACATTGAAGACAGGACTCTTGGGTGCGTCAGTGTCGCTGTGCGTGCATTCACTTGTGCGTTCAGCTGGCCTGTTTGCACCCTCCATACAACGGTAAAGGGTTTAGGGTTTGTGTTCAGGTGTCAGCACTCTGAGGGCAGAGGGTTCAAGGTTTAGGGTTTGTGTGGCATTGTCTGTTTCTTCACTCTGCTGCGTGCAGTCACAGAGTGGTCAGAGGAAAAACAGAGACTGCACTCTGCGTTGTCACGGCTTCCGGGTTTAGGGTTCGGGTTGGAAGCTTAAGTGCCCAGGATTTAGGAGGGTTTCGATTGCATACACGCCAGAAGACTGCAGATTTGCCAAAGATCTGACCATTCTTGCAGGGTTTCTTGGGCCTTTTTCGAGGCCCGAATTGAGTTCTGAAGGAACTACCTTCACAAACCCTGAACCTACTCGGGTTTAGGGTTTAGGGGTTGAGGTTTAGGGGTTGGGGTTTAGGCTTGGGGTTTAGGGTTTTTTTTTTTTTTGTACCCTCTTTTCCGTCTGCCCGGGTTAAGGGTTTAGGGTTAAAGGTGAAGGGTGAAGGGTTAAGGGTTAAGGGTTTAGGGTTTCGGGTTACATTGGGGCTACAGGTAAATCCTTAAAACCCCAAATCCCCAAGCCCTGAAGCTCTACTTGGGGGTTCATGGGACTTAGTACGTACAGTTATAAGTACCTTAACTGGGGTTATAACCAATTTTAAGTCTAGTTACCTTATTTACTAAGTCCCATGAACCTCTAAGTATAGCACCTGGGTACGAAAGCCTAGATCACCAAACCGTAGGGTTGCTATCGCCCCCTTAATGCTTTAAACGGTCCCAAGTCCTGTCATCCAGGTGTACAAATGCGTCCCATATCAATTAAAATCGATTTTAATACCCTGTGCAGGGGTCCCAATAGCCAAATCAATTAAAATCGATTCCAAGTGTTGCCACGAGGCGGACCAATTAAAATCGATTTTAATACCCTGTGCAGGGGTCCCAATAGCCAAATCAATTAAAATCGATTCCAAGTGTTGTCACGAGGCGGACCAATTAAAATCGATTTTAATACCCTGTGCCGGGGTCCCAATAGCCAAATCAATTAAAATCGATTCCAAGTGTTTCCGAACCCAGAACCTCTGGACCAGGGTATTAAAATTGATTTCAAGTCATTGGCAAGAGAAAAATTGAGAAGGTATTAACATCGATTTTAATTGCTTCTCGAAGCTAATCCCTAAAACCCGCAATGAGGTATTAGAATCGGTTTTAAAACATAATTGAAATTGAAATCCAGACTTATTTGCTTAGGGCGTGTGTTGAATCTTAACAAACCCCAGATCCCAAACCCACATAGCTCCAATTCTTACATAATATATATATATATATATATATATATATCGTACGCGTGTGTGTGTGTGTAAACTCTGATGTGAACCCACCCTGAAGCCCCAAATTCCCAAACTCCAAGCCAGATGCACTTTGAAGTCTCCTACGCTGGAGGCCCCACAAAACCCCAAACCCTACAGTCAAAACCCCAAAACCCTAGACCCAAAACCCCCAAACCCAAAGCCCCACTTGGGAGGACCTGTGGCAGCTGCCAGGGCCGGTCTACGATCCGGTTCCTGGGAGTGGTTGAGCTACGGGATTCTTTAAAAGAGGTTCTATCAGGGATTTACGATAGGGTTCTATAAAGGGGCCTTAATACTTACGATCCGGTTCCTCGGAGTGGTTTAGCAAGGAGTCAATGGAGCAAAGGAGGTAGGGCTTCTTTTAAGCAGGTAGGTTGACAGCTTAGGGTTTCGGTTTGCAGCTTGGGGTTGAGGTTGATAGCTTAGGGTTGAGGTTTCACAGCTCAGGATTTAGTTTTTGTCGCTTAGGGTTTAGGTTTACAGCTCAGGGTTTAGGTTTACAGGTTCATCGCCCATACCCTAGAGCTTAATGTTTATATACGGCTTTTGCTCCAACTGCTCAAGGCCATGCCTTAATTAAGCCCTAAACCAGCGGGAGGCATGGCGGCACGTCAATCGAAGCTGCCTGCCGCACACCCTTTGCGTGATACGACTGACTCATTTCATGTCGAAAAGAAGCATGCCGGCAATCTGCCCACAGCTCAACGCTGTTTTCGACAAGGGCAGATGAGAAGACTCTCGGATCTCACAGGGTCCGACTGTTTTGAAGCCAGAGGAGTTCGCAGATGGTCTCCCAGTCCCTGATCCCCTCTATGCGAACCCCAGCACCCACGGTTCATCCACAAGAGGATGACCAGATCGACCAGTCATGGCGTGGGATCTCCCTTCCATTATGTGCTGCTTCGTCTTACAAAAGCATGGTGGCTCAAGCCCAATCACCCCATCAAATCCCATAACAAGTTTAAAACCCTACAGAGGCAATCAAAGCTTTCAAAAACCCTATATAGCCCCAAAAAGCGGTATGACCACAACCTAAACCCTAAAATCCCAAACCCGAAGCCCTTCAACCGAAAACCCTAAACCCTAAGCCCTAAACCCCAAACGCCGAAACCTCTCGAACAATTCCTACACCCCAAGGGTAAAAAGAGGGACCCTTAATAAGGACCCCTAGGTATATACCCTCAATATACCTAGAATATACCCATTATATAGCCCATTATAGGGTAGGGTCCCCCTCAAGGGTCCCCATTAAGGGTCCCTCCTTTGACCCTTTGACTTCCTAAACCCTAAACCCCCACAAGCCGAAACCTTTAGAAACCTCGAAGATCTGGGTCCATGGCCCTGCCACCCGTGTTTGTGCATTGAAGTTGGCGAAGGCGAGGGCCATTCGGCGACCTCAAAAAGGGGGTTTCGGGGTCTAGGGTTTAGGGGTTTAGAGTTTCAGGATTTAGGGGTCTAGGGTGTAGGGTCTTAGGTTTCAGCAGATCGAGAAGAAGGAATTGGGGTGGGTACATTATAGTGCGAGACAAAACAGAAAAAAAGTAGGCTACTGAGCCGCTTGCTAATTACAGCAACCCCAAGAAACTGAAACGCTAAACCCTAAACAAGGCCCAAACCACAAGCTCTAGACGCGACGACCGATACCTGCAAGCCCAGATCCTGCTGTCCCACTCTTCAACGTTTAGGATTTTGGGATTTGGGGTTTAGGATTTATAGAGCCTAGGGCTTAGGGACTTATAGGAATTACAAGGTTTTTCAAATTTAAGGGTTCTTAGGATTTACAGGCCTTAGAGTTTAGGGTTCAGGGTCGATAGGGTTTGGGATCTGATCGACTCACGCGATTTCGCCGCGACGATGCACCGTCGGCGAACATGAGACACTCACCCTGCACCCTCAGCCCGAACACAAACCCCCACGTCAACTTACACAAGGATAGAGCTCTGTAAAACCCTAAACTGTTTCAACCGGTTTCTGGCCAAACGTTCTCGAGGTCCACCCTATGCGGTTTAGGAATTATCTAGCAGACTATACATTGGATACTGCCCGCGCTCTGTACAGTTGGATAATGTTTCTGAAAACAGTGGAAAAAAACCTTTGCTATATGGTATGACCCCAAACAAAGACTCTTACAGGGTTGGGGCAGTATCCAAACTCTAGAAGCTTAAGCCTAAACGGCACAAACGACCAGAGGCCCGATACACCCTAAAGCCCCAAAAGCCCTAAACTACAGGGTTTTGAGTTCCCTTTCTATGTTTAGGGTTCCCCATTTGCGGTTAGGATTGGCTACTTGGCAAGGGGCTGTAGATGAGGCTTTAGCGGTTTAGGGTTTAGGATGGCTCAGGGCTCCTAATCCTACCAGAAACGACCCTTACTGTGAAGAACCGCACTCAAGAATCCCTAAACCCTGCCATCGATGTTATGGTGTTCGATTGACACGGCGGTAGGTGACGCTAAGCCCGAACCTGGACCTAGACGTACTCAAGTCGCCTATAGCGTATGGAGCCCCAGGTGCTAGAATCTGAGCGTTTTGTTTTGCCATGTTTCGGTGCTTTCTAGCCTGAGGGTTCTACACTGAATCCTGTTGCTCATGTGGGGCTTATCATCATGGACAGAACATGGGCACACACTGTTTAAGGTTCAGGTATGCATGATGAATATCACCTTCCTGTAATACTGGGTTCTGGATATTGACTAAGAAAACTCACTCAAAGTCCTTACATAGGTATGGTACAGCCTACCCCAGCAACCTGTTCTACATGTTAAGGCGCCTAGATGACATAAGCATGTGTATGTACATACATATACATATATATATATATACATATATATATATACATATACATATATATATATATGTGTGTATATGCGTATATATATATATATATATATGGACACACCCCCCCCCATGACCTACCTCGGCCTCTTTTCCATTGTAAATACCGTCAAAACCTTCTCTTGGCAGGGATTCGCGTTTGGCATACGATTCGTGTTTTGCGTAATTTTCGGGGATGATACCTTCTCTATCATGGCTGATGTGAAGTCATGTCTCTTTACAACGTCGTGCCTACTCATGTCCGCTTTCAAATTCATATGCCTGTATTCATAAGCAAGAAACATTAAAAGAAACCACACGATACGACGGCGGAAACCAAAAAACCAAAAATCCAAAAATCCAAAGCCTTTCTGAGGGGCCCGAAACTTTTGGATTTTTTGGTTTTCCTAGGTCTTTTTTGGTTTTTTGGGCTTTGCCTTGGCGAAACCATTTTTTTTTGGATTTTCGGTGGAAAACCAAAAAAACTCAAGGGTTTTTTGGTTTTTCTGCTGTGTCTCTGGTGCAAAACCAAAAAACACCTGTGTTTTTTTGGATTTCTGCTGAAAAACCAAAAAAAACCTTGGATTTTTTTGGTTTTCTGCTGGAAAACCAAAAAAACCCTAGGAAAACCAAAAAATCCAAAAGTTTCGACCCCCCTGACAAAGGTTTTGGATTTTTGGATTTTTGGTTTTGTGGTGTTTCGGCGGAAACCAAAAAACCAAAAATCCAAAAATCCAAAGCCTTTCTGAGGGGCCCGAAAC